TGACAAGTTATAATTTTTATTAAATTTTTTAATAAGTTGTAATATATAGTTGTAACATAAATGTTGCAACATAGTAATTATGACTATTATCTTTAGTTCTAATACTCAAGTCTGCTTAAAAAGTATGTTAGTAAATTTACTAGCAAACTATCCAGCAAGAAAGTGAAGAAGCAGATTTCAAAAAAAGATTTTCTTATGTTAAAAAAACTTATTGAGAAATTGATATCAATGATACCTGAAAATTCTGAAAAAGTAATAGAAGTTAATGAAAATACTAATAATTTTTTATATTATTATAGCAAAATTATACAGACTAAATCTAAAAGTAAGATAGCAAATAGAGAAGTTATTGAAAGTTATTTTAATTTTGATAAAGCTATGAAAAGATATTTTGATTATTATAAGAATCTGAAATATAAAGATTGAGCTTGCTTGGCTCTTGTTAATGACAAAATCCAGAAATAACTTCCTGATAATATCACTAATAATGCATTAAAAAAAAGAAAGAAGTGAGCAGAAAAAATATATAATTTATTTGTTAGTATTAGTAAAGAGAAAATAAGAGATATTAAATCATTTTTGATATCAAATATTTTGAACTTAAATCAAGAAAATATTGATTATGTGATAGTTGAAGTTTTAAAAAAGGAAAATAGAATATAATCATTACTGCACTATGTTACTGCACTAGTGATATTGATATTATATTCAAATTTATACATTAATAAAGTTATAATTCTATTATTTCATAATTATATATAGTATCATATAAATTATATACACTGATTAATTAATCTGATTTTTTGTAAGCTTTACCATTATTTAATTATATATCTACATGAAATATGTAGTGTTAAAATAAACTAACATCTATTAATTCATTAATTGTTGTTAGTTATTCATTATCTAGTAGTTAACTTGTCTAATCACACATAAATAAATCAAAATTTTGATTGGTTTCATTATATATATTACTCACAAAATATGATGAATATATATAATTCATCTAATAACTCAGGCCCTATGGAATGCTCTTTGAGCATCCACACTAAAATTGAATCATATTATTCTAGAGTATATAGTTACTAAATCAAATAGATCTAAATCCCTAAATTTAATATAAATTACATATACTTTCATAAACACTACAAATAGGTTATATAAAATAGCTAGCTTAAGTAAAAGACATGGAACTAATTGTATTGATGCTGAATGGAATGAAATCCTGGAGATGGATATTATTTCATCAAATGAGACTCCTACTGAATGGATGAATCGAATTTGGCCTCACTTACAATATTTCAGAGAGAATAATCTTATACCTTATAATAGAAAATACTTTGAAACTAGAAAATTAATAACATATTGGTCTGCAGTCAATGAATATTATAAAAGCTATGCACCAGAAATTGGACTTGCTATCTGTTTCTCTTGTAATTAACTTATATATATTGGAGAACAAACCAAAAATATAGGTAATTATAACCATATAGAAATAGAGAAGCATTGGGCTACTCATTGCATTGGAAATTCCTTTTGTGATGTAAATTATGATGAATATTTAATGAAAATCAAGCAAAAATCTATTTCAGGATATGATTTCGATAATGAATATGCATTACATTACATAGATAGATGCAGAATGCTATTAAAAAGGTAAAAAATTTGAGCATGTACAATAATACAACATAAATTCATTGAATATATGTATAAACCCAATGGTCTCTGCACTTCAGAATTAGCATTACATTATCAACTATTATGGGCGGTTCGAGAAGAAATGCGTCAAATTAACAATGTATAGCTTAATTTATTGAAATATTTGATTTAATCTATTTATTAATTATATAACTTATTCATATATATATATATCTTTAAAATAAAACCATCTGAGGGCTGTGATTATTAATAGCTATTTTTTATTGATTTTTTCATATTAACCTGTTTTATGGTTCACTATATTCGCTATGAATGCAAAATCTAGCGAGTATCGGACCTGTAAATCCCTTACGCATTTTAACATCATCGGTATAATTTTGATGACAGCATAATGACATCATGCAACGTGCAATGTGCATTATATTATTGTTATGCGAACTATATGCAATCGTTCATTTATGACATGACACAAACCTAGTTTTTTTTCTTTCGTCACTTGCACTTTGTATATTATCATCGTTATTTTGTGTACTATCTCTAAAGTCTTTACGCTTGGCTAGATACCCTACAAGAACAATGGCAGAGAGTGCTTATAATAGAATTTGTGCAACCATTCAGGTAAAGTTTTTGCATAGAAAAATTATCTTCAAACGTATTCAACAAACCAATTTTTTGCATAGATTACCAGAGAGAATTGTGACCCCATTCGGTCCAGAAGGCAAGAAAGTGAGCCCGCCTTGTTGTCGACCGATTTTATTGATAACAGTGTGTGACGCAATATGCCTTCTTTGGACGTACTACATCAGCCGACCTCCTCGGAAGGCAACGCTACAAGAGCAGAACAAGTACTTTGCAAGGTGTCTGGAACTCTTAGCCGAGAAGATAGTAAAGATGGAACCAACCTTATTATACCGTCCTTGAACAGTAAATCTCACATATTCGAAACGAAAAGGGAAAATATTGAGGTTCATGTTCGGTGTGTCGATTCGTTGCAGAACAGCGAGAAAGGAAGCGCCAGCATCGAGAGTAAAAACAATGAAGATATTACAATGGGTTTCGGAGCCTGCCCTAACCAAAGAACAATTGGCGCACTGCAGACATCCTTTGGGAAATTGTTCAGAATCGGTACCATGGGAGACGTTACGTGGACAACGGAAATCCCGACGAAACCGTGTTGTTTTGTATTCGCGCACCCTTGCCCTACCAAAGGAAGAGGAACCAATGGCGATCAAGAATCCATGTCTCAGGTGTCAAAATGTGATGAACAAAATGAAGCATTTTGCAACAATACACTTATGGTAGTCGATACATTTGTTAATGATACTGACCGTCGTCATCTTGCATCTTTTATTGGTTGTGAGCTTCCTAGTGATAGTGGTGATCCAAAAGGACTTAAATTATACATTCTGTGGGTTGCAAAATTTGGTTTCAATCACATCATTATTATTGGGGAGATCGATTATGGAATGATTTTTTTAGACTGTTATGGTCGTGTATTTATGTGGGAGGATATGATGCAAGTTTTGTGGCCAATGGGAGATTCTTTGGAAGAGGTGAAATTGAACCATGGAAAAGATAAATTGTTCTGGGTTGTGGAGGACGATGGAATTGTATATGAGTTCGAATCACCACCTGAACGTGCGTATGCAGAAAATTTTTTATGGCAATATGTTCATTATTTACTAATATTTTTTTTTGTACTTATTTTTTCCCAGATGTATACACCACTATAAAAAAGGCAAAGAAGAAAAAAAAGCACCAAAAACGTCATTAATATGGTTAAGAATGATAAAAATGAAATAAACAACGTCCTTGATTAACGAATAATTAACATACATATTGAAGTGATACTATATCAATTAAATAATGTCAAGCTAATAAAGTTCCGGGTTTTTTGCTTTTACGTACATATACACATATATCATATTATGCGTTACAAAAATAATGCACTTGAGATTTTATTGCTTAATCCTTATGAATATTTAAAGTTTTAAGTTTACTCAATAAGACTCAATTCTCGAAGATGCTCCGGAATAATTACATACCTTAAAACGATCCAGTTTTCTTCGCATAATTCTTTCTTTAGTCGATCCCGCTCTTGTTGTTTGATAAATTTATTGGGATCTCCGCTATGAAAGAATTTATTATATTTTTTGTGTTGTTCTCCTTGTACTTCAATCGCAAAACCATAATGGTAGTAAGGAATATCGAGTTCTAAACCTATTGGATGCTCAGGCGTTTTCAAGAAATCTGGTCTGCGATTTTCAGATGGCGGACCAAGATACTTTGTTAAAATTTCTCGACATAATTTTTCACGTTTATATTTATAACAAAATGGACACCAGGTACCACTTTTTACATTACCAAGAGATGCTTGCCATAGATGGCCTTCTTTACAACACCATAATAATGGTGATTGACTATTAACATACTGTACTTCTCTGAAAGACATTCCCCATGTCTAGATAATGCAATTTGCTTCACATCCTCAAGAGTTAATTTCATATTACCTGCGCAATATGGACACCAACTTCCTTGTTGAATACTATTGGGAATAGCCTCCCATCTATGATTGTTTTCACAAATCCATTCCAATTTTGTTTGCGAATCATAATATTGATCTGAAAGGCAATCTCCATTTTTTGTTTGTGCAAGTTTACGCATATCCTTTATTGACTGATTTCGACCGATACAAAATGGACACCATTGCCCTCTATTTTTAACATGGTTAAGGTCATTTTGCCATTGATGGTTGAATTGGCATTTCCAAATGAGCGGATCATTAATATTTTTATACTCAGTTGAAAGGCATTCACCATGCCTGGATAATGCGATTTGCTTTGCGTCCTCAAGAGTTAACTTTATATTACCTGCACAAAATGGACACCATGCTTTGGAATATTTAATGTTATGAAATGGGCTATTCCAAATATGACCTTGATGACATTTCCATGCCATTGGCGTATCAGAATTTTTATAAGTGATTGAAAGACATTTGCCATTTCGGTTGAGTGCAATTTGCTTGGCATCTTCAAGAGTAAGTCGGGCATTACCTGCACAATATGGGCACCATTTACCACTTTTTACATTGCTAACAGATGCACGCCATAAATGATTTTCTTTACAACGCTAAATTAATGGTAATTAATTATTTTTATACTCGGCTGAAAGGCAGTCTCCATGTTTAGATAATGCAATTTTTTTGATATTTTCAAGAGTTAGTTTTACGGTACCTGCACAATATGGGCACCATGATCCGGAACTTTTAACTCTACGAAGTGGGGCACTCCATGTATGATTCTTAGAGCAGATCCATATTAATGGAGTTTTATTATCTTTGTATTCAGTTGAAAGACATTTCCCACCACGGAATTCAGCAATAACACAAGCATCATTTAGTGATAGTTTTGGAGACATTGAGGAGAAATATTTTTAATCTTTGAAATCCTATCCTATTCATTTAATTTCAAAGGAGTATCCCAACCAAGACGTATATTTAAAGGATCATCAGTTGGTTTAGTGAAATCAAAAACTATAAAATTTCGATTTCATAGATGCTTGTCAATAATTTTGGATGCTTTTTTAGGATCATCTACAAACTGACGCATAATTCGAATGAGATCTTCTCTGGACCCCCCATTGTTAAATAGCACAAGATGGCTTAAATTTTCACGAATAATTTTAGGTGTTTGTGTATATTTCTGTGATACATATATTGGCGAGATATTTTGATGCCGACCACTAATGAAGGAATAATTCGTTCTTGTACTTTTTTCGATTTGGCGCATAGATCCTCAAATACAACAACTGTACTTCGCTCTGGAGAGAATTTAGTTATATCTGGAATTTTATCTGGAGATATCCTTTTGAATGTGACATCTTCTCGATATGGTTTAGGGGCATTCGCAAAGATCTGAAAGCTATTTTGTATAAGTTGCCATTTCGGCTCAAAATGTTTGCCTATTAATACGAGGTCATCGTTTTTGATATAACGATTTCCTTTCTTACCTTTAAACATTTGTTGTAATTTATTACCTAGCATAAGATTAATTACCATATTGGTTTTTCCACTATTGGAGCCACCTGTCACGAGGAGTCTAAAAGGCCAGTCGGGGGTATATTTGTTAGATTTCATTCGTCCTGAGGAATTGTTTGATATCTCGTCGATATTATATACAAATATGGGCATTTTTTCTTCTTTCATTCCGAATAAACTAAGAATACTAATCTATTATATCGAAAAAATATTAATCGAACCAGATAAGCATTTAAAGTTTTGCTTCTATTCTATAAGACCCAATTCACGAAGAATACCTGGAATAACTTTATATGGATCTTCGTAATACCAAACTTCTCTTAAAACAATCCAGTTTTCTTCACAAAGATCCTTTTTAATTTGATCACGCCTCTGTTGTTTGATTAAGTTTTCTGGTTTCCCTTTATGAAAGAAATTATTGTAATATTCGTGTTGTTCTTCTTGAACTTCTATAGCTAAGCCATATTGAGGATAATAAATATCTAGTTCTAAACCTCGTGGAAATTTAAGTGTTTTTAAGAAATTAGGTTGGCGTATTTTAGATAGGGATCCAAGATATTTTGACACAATTTCTCAACATAAATTTTCACGTCTATTTTTTATACAGCGTGGACACCAAGTTCCTCTTTGAATACTGTCAATTCGAGCTAACCATGAATGTTTTTTGGAACAGCTCCAAGATAGTGGTGTGCGTCTATTATGATAAGAAATAGAAAGACAGGTTCCACCCCTTTCAATTGCAAGGTTTTTTACATAATTGAGCCCAAGTTTCATATATTCACGACACCAATTTTCAGTATTTTTAACATCTGCAAGAGAAAGACGAAATTGATACTTATTTTCACAGAGGTGAAGAGTTATTAATATATTTTTCTGAAATACATCTTCCATTCTTATTAAGTGCTAGCTTCTGAACTACTGAAATATTAAGTTTTTTACTTGCGCAATAAGGACATCATGAATGACAATTTTTAATACTATGAAATAGAGCAACCCATTGATGCTTTTTACTATACTTCTATAATATTGGCATGTAAGAATTAATATAATTTTTTGAAAGACATTGACCTTCTCGATTTCATACTAATTCTCTAGCTATCAAAATATCTAATTTATTACTTCTACAAATTGGATATCATGAATTTTTATTTTTGATATGACAAAATGGAGCAGTCTATTGATATCCTTTAGCACATTCCCAAAGTATTAAAGTTTCACAATTAATATATTCTTCAGAAAGATATTATCCTTTACAAGATTTGACTATATGAATTGTATCACTTAATGATAATTTCAGAGATATTGAAAATGAATATATATTTTTTAATAACCATTCTTACCTTTAAAATACTGGTTCAAGCTTTTCTATTTTCATTTTAATCAAGATAAGTCACTAATTATTATATCTGAAAAAATATTGATCCTTATTATTATATATATATTCATCCAATTTTTTACTTTATGTAATAGCCAGTCTAATAAATATGATATAGTAAATTACTTAAGACTCTCTAATATCAATACGTAGATTATTACTCATAAGATACCAATTATCTTATCAATAACAGAGTCATATTTTTTGAGATTGAGATTATGCAGATTCTTATATAATCAAATAATTTCATGGATTGATATATCAATAATAAAGTAATTTAGAAGAAGTAGAACTTCTAGTTTTGAACATAATCTTGCTATTTTATAGATAGACTTGTTGGTTATATAGCACTAATCAAGATTGAGATATCAAAGTCCTGAATATAATTATGCAATTTTTTTAACTGATATATCACTCACTTTGCAATTCTTAAAAGAAAAATTTATAATATTTTGGTATAAAGTAGCAATTGTATAAACTCCACATTAGATATTTCCATACAAGATATCAAGCTCAAATATTAGAATCCAAAACAGAAATATACTACTGCTTTTAATATCTTATTTATAATACTATAATATCACAAACTAAGATAATGTAGTTTGGAATAGAAATATGCAATATTAATCATAGATATGTCAATGATATTTTTATTATATTCCAGATTGAGATAGTTTAAGTTTGAATATGAATTAGCAATTTTGCTTAAAAATTTATTAGAGAATTTAGAAGAATCAAGACTTAGATATTTCAGATTTTGATTAGCAATTAATTTAGAAGAATCAAGACTTAGATGTTTTAGATTTTGATTAGCAATTTCATAAAGTATTCTATCATTAATATAAATATATTTGCTTAAGGATCTCTTTTTAGTTGAGTTTAAATTAAATTTGAAATATCTTATATTAGATCATAGTTTTAAAGAATTAGCAATCAAATTATAAGAAAAACTCTCACAATTATCAAAAATGAGATATTGTAATCTGGGAATTTCACAAGCAATCTTGATTAAAGTTCTATCTGAAATTCTACATTTATAAAGAATGAGTCACAATAGCTTAGAACAGTAAAGAGATTTTTAATTTTCATACATCACTTGAATTTTTTGAATTATACTAGATTTCTTTTATCAAACTCCATATAATACCAGATAATTAGCTCTATACATAAATATCAAAATTTATTGATGAACAAGATCAGATACAATGATCTATCTTTAGCTAAATTCAAAAAAATTTCAGTTAATATTTTAGGTAAGTTTAGTAAATATAATTTAACTGTAAAGTAACTGCTTCTAGCAATATATGATATTGATATTTATATTTGTGAATTTATTCTATATTTGATAAATAATCTTTTTTGA